GTAACGGAATGAAATCGACGATATTTTCGAGAGAGATTTTCTTAATAGAGAAACATCGTATAACAGTGCCAAAAAAAAACTTTAATCACTTTGCGCGATATGCGAGACGAGCTAAATGTAAATTTTAAAGTGACGCGCTCTTCGTTCACACGCAAACATGCACCGCCATGTAACCGCACGTTTGAGAGCTTAATTAGTCTAGTTAAAAGTTCACAATTTTTCCTCATTTACGCTCACTCTTGGGAACAATTACGCCACCTCAGCTCAATTCCGCTTGGCTTTTTACAAATCGCGAAGCTCGCGACGTTAAAAGCGCTATTCTACCGTAATTGGCTATTTCCGATAAATAAAATCGCTTATGGAAGTCAGTGAAACGTCATTACAACGTTGGAACGTCAATTCTATTAAAAATTTCCTACGTACGCGATTCTTTGAATATGCAATTTTCGTAAAATTTTTGTACAGAAATTTAATATGTTGTGCAATGTGTGTACAATTGTTGTTCTGTACACACACTATTTTAGTGAATATAAACTATAAATGTTACATTAGCTTCGAAAATTATATAAAACTTTTTTGCAATATATGTATTGTACGGCATACATAAATTTTGTACGTGTTTTCGTATAATTTTCCAAAAGCATTTTAATCGCGAGCTGTCTTCTTGAAGGTTCAGCTTTTACACGGCTGTTTCTGACAATTTTCTCAGCGATGAGCTTAACTTCTCGTTCGTACTTCTTGTGTGCGCGCTGCTAAGAAGCGTTCAGCCCTTGTCAGATTATACAGCGCCTAAAAAATGAAACTAAAAGTGCGTAATTAATTCTATACTATTAATTTAATTCTATGCAGATTTATATATCGTTAAAAATTACTAAAATAATTTCAATCTTGTCAAAAATTGCTTTCGTATTTATGTTTCCTTCCTGAATCGTATTGTTTGCAAATATACTGTTATAGCCCGAATGCTATCATGAATAAAGCCTTATACTTCGGCATAGCAACGAGCTTGCAACGGCAAATTCCTAAGTCGTATCCGCTTAGAACGATTCTGAAAAAACCTTGCACTTCGGCAAAGTAACGCGGAAAAGATTGCGACTCATTAACCGCGCACGGAGAAGGGTCGCGCGCGCGCTAAACGATTCCATAATCATATAATAAATCGTAATACACTGCAAACTCCTTTAAATTCGGCTGTCTAATCGTAGGCAGCGCAAGTTACTTTTCAACTGAGCTAAGGGCATACCATGCGTACTCGAGTGTCCGACAAGTTAACGCGACTACCGCGGCCGACACGTTATAGAAATAGCGTGATATTGTAATAAGGGGAAAGCACAATGGAAATAAATAAGCAGTGAAAATGTGAAAAGGTGAGTGTTTCTCAAGCCCTCGAGATCTTCCACGCTCTTGGTGAGCCCTTAGGGCAAACCGCGAATCTCGAAAATTCTCTTTGTTGCACCGAAATAATCAGGAGATGCGGTAGCGATAGCTACCGCCAAGGATATATTTTTTCGTTTCATGACGATTTAATACTTTTTAAAACCTGGCAATCGTATAAGCACCTCGCTAACAATGTGATACCGAGATTGCGATTGTATTTTATTTCAGTAATATAAAAGTGAGAAAAAACCTTTTTGATGCGTCTCGTATCACAATTCTTGTGCTAACAATAAGTCTAATTCAATGACGCGACAATCTCACCGTAGCTCCTTTTATCTCGCGGATTCTTTTTCAAATTACATTATTTTCATTTTTATTACACTCGATTGTATTCTTTTCTTTTCCCATTTTCTCAGCTGCTATATTCCTTACATTCCAGAACCACGCGTTATACTTTGAAACTGATGTTGAAAGATTACTTTTATACTTTGTGGATTCTCTCAAGCCCCTACATGCATACATTGCCGTGAAAATTGAAGAGATATCCTTTCGTAAACATAGCTTCATCATAATACATATTCTTGAAGAGGAAGCATCATCTTCTCGCATTTGTGCCACCTTATTGTTAGAATATTGTAATCGCATCTGAAAATCAAGACGACAACCTCCTTAGAACGGCACACAATGGCACGGATATCTATTATCAGTTCCTAACGTCCTCTAAACAGACGACCGAGATAGTTGCAATTGATGCGAAACTCGCGGAACACTTTCCATAGAACTGTTATCAAAGACATTTAAAATTCCTTGAGAGTGACGAGGCTGACGCGACTTTCGTGCCACAAGCAAAGCTCTTTCTCTCTCTCTCTCTCTCTCTCTCTCTCTGCGCGCATGTATGTGGTGGTATACACGTGACAACAAAAGAGAATTATTATTAGAAATCCGTATACGAAGATACGTTTACGATGAAACGTGGGCGTTAATATAGCTAAAGAGTCTGTAAACACGCGGTTAGTTTTACTGTTAACACGTGGCCGATGTATATTATTGCAACACGCTTACTCTCCTACTAAACTCGACTGATTTATTAAAGTGTTTCGTGGTCTTTTTCAAGCGACTCGCTCTTATTGATTACAGTTATGTAATTATCGGAAAATCAAGCAAACACTGGGAAAATTCTCCCCAAAGTCGAGTAAACTCGGCTATAATAATATTAAATAAAAAGTTTGAAAACATTAAAACAAATTACAATTTTTATATAAAGTGTACGATTATTTTTAATTAAAGTATTTTAAAAAATTCTATTAATTTTTTCAATAATCTAGTTTACATATATTATTTCTTGTTTTATTTCTATTTTAAGAGTTCTTCTAATATATAAATAAATATATAAAGCAAAAGCACGATGTTATCTTCAGGATCACGAAGCAATTTTTAGGAAAAGACTTTTACTGATTTATCTATTTTACTAAACTCTAACCATCCGTCGCGAAAAATTTATCAATTCTTAATTTTATATTAAAAAAAAAATATTTGTTTAGTTTTAGTATTTTGCTACTTTGCACAGGCAGCTATTCTCGTAAATTCTGAACGAAATTTACTTTGGAAAAGAGTATAGAAGCACAGGTCACTATAAATCACGCGGAAATTTCGTGGAAATTTCGTGAGAGAGAAAGCAGATAGAATGCCGTGTGCGTAGCGTTCTTTATCTGCCCGTTCATACATGCGTATTTGCCTATGTACGTAAGGATTTTCGGAATATCCTTAAAAAGCCGTAAAACTGAGGTATTGTGCCCATCCACGCGCGCTTACATGCATAACTTGCAAATTAAGTCCTTGAGAATTCAACTATCATCTTCGGATTTCTCCGGCTTTTCCGGCAACGTGTCTCGCCACGGAAAATTGCGTTTAATAAAACGACGCGTTCATAAATCTCATGGCCTCACACATACTATTACGACCGCATATCATGGTTGCATAATCTGCAAGTTGCATAACTGTAAATTTTTGGGTTATCTCTGGAAAGAACGTGCACACAAAATTGTCTGCGTATAATCAGCAATTGTAAAAAAAAAACAAAAAAAAACTACAATATTTTCCACTATCATCGCAGGACCTTTTCACTTAATTTTCTATTCTTTTTTCATTCATTTTATTCAAATATTATTTTAATTGTTATATATGTTTTTACATGTAATTAATTTAAAGCTTTTTCTTATGGTTTTTTTTTAAATTAAAATATTTATTTATTATATTCTAGCCCAGCCGTCGTTTCTCTGACGAACATCAAAGAAATTCCACGATCGCCCCGGTAATTTCCGGCTGTCCGGAAATTAAGCTCCCTTCCTTATAAGAGATGAAGCGAGAGGAAAAGGGGTAAATACAATTCTGCATCTTGTGCTTCTGCATGGGAGCGTTGATCTATAAGGACGACGGAGGAGGCTAAAAAAAAAGGAAGAGAGAAAGATAAACAAGGTGAAATTACGTTGCTCGATACAGTAGTTTTCAGTGCTTTTGCCAGTTCAGCAGGCCTTTGCGATTGTGCTTGCTGAAATAAAGCACGTCTTCTCTTCACCCGCCCTTTATCCTCCTCTTACCGTCTTTCTTCGTTTCCTTCCACCTGGATGGAAGTAGAGCCATGACTAAAGAGTGCGGAGAAAAGCTCTTCCGCGTATCTCGAAAAAAAAAAATAGAGCAAAAGATTGAAGTGAAATCAAAGAAATCGCAAAAATAGAAAAGAAAAAGAAACGAAGAAAATCCGTGGAAAGTTCGAGACATAAAATTACGTAAATACAATAAGAATCGTTCCAATAAGAATTTCAAACTTTTCACAAATTACACGAAGCTGTGTGAGTTTCTTCAGCCGCTCTTGCACACAAAGATAATAAATACCTATGTAAAATGTGTTATAGCCTTCACGTTTCTCAAATTGTAACTATCGAGATAGATTATTGAATAACACGATGGTTTCAAAATTTCACAGTTATTCTTCAAAACATATCGCGTTAAATAAAACAATTTGTAATTAATCTTTCCGCACGCGTGAACATAAAAAAAAACAATTATCCGACTGCGAGAGATTTCAGGTGTGCCATTTTCCGTTTTGCAGATTGCGCAATCATAAATGCATTTTGATCGAAAATTCGCTTTACCACCTTTCATCATGTTAAAGTCGATGCAACAATTTCGTGTCTAACAACGTTGTTCTCATGTAAGATTGAAACCACCATTCGTATTCACGAGTATTCGATTATTATTTCGAGAGCGTGATGAAAACATCTTTTTGCATGTTGATCAAACTAATCGACTTTGTGAAATCATTCGGCAAGTATTTTTACTGCAATTTTGTCGTAAGAACTATCGTCTTTTCTCATAAAAAATAAATACATAAATAATATAATCAATTGCTACGTCCTGTGTGGGCTCTACAATTTTTTTTTCTCACGGAGGGCTGGATTGAATCGCCATTCGAGCAGGCATTTATGAGAAGTATCATTTAATACTTAAAATATGCAAAAACGGGGAAGAAATTTGAACCGAAAAGCGCTTGTTACGCATCAAGACCTTCATAAAAGTCACCGAGAAGGAACGTCGGACACTAGAAGTGCGCGGTGTGTTGGAAGTGATAAAGCCCTAGATGTGGAGGGCCTAAACGAAAGGAATAATAACCAAATTAGAAATTACCAAAAACAACGCGTAGCAGTAAACTGAGAGGAGCAGCGTCATCCGATATTAGATGATTGTACTTGGTGGTCGGCAAACAGAAATCGACATGAAGAGACGTTTGAAAGTCGTAAAAAAAAGAAAAATATCGTATTACTCTGCTCCACATTGAAAATCAGCTGCTTAATGTCGCTATGCAACATCAAACTAATGATTGACGGCGTGGCTTTATGATTTCCAGATGATCACAAACTTAAGAAAATTTCTTTAGAGATTAATAAATCACATTCCCTTCTCCTAAGAGCGAACCACTAGAATATCGCGTCCGCCAATAGATAATTGACACAAAAAAAAACTTCACACAGACAATTGGGTCCACCAATAAATAGTTCAGAACTCCAAAAACTCAGAACATGGGTGGAATAACGGGTAATTAAATTATTCAATAAGCAGCTGTGAGAGCTGCCTCTTGATCAAAAGATCCACCAACGAAAACCTTAACTCCCACAACCCGACACATCTCAGTTCCCACGGAAATTTCTACATAAACTATTAATATAGAAAAAATTGTTCACCTGTGGGCGGAACGAAGGCGAAGAGGACCTTCCAGAAGATGGTAAGTGAGTGCATCAGATAATTCATCGCGGATGGTGAGGAAGGTTGACCGGTTCCACCCTCTGCGTCGTTCTCATCACCCCCACTGACGGTCAGCGCTTCCGTGAATTGTTCTTTCCAAGAACTTGTGCCTGAGAACAAAATTTCAGAATTTCTTTAGAATAGTAGAAGCGGCTTGAAAAAGAAGAATACAATTCACAATATCCTGCAATATAGATAGATCTTTTAAAAAAATCTTTTAGAAAATTAGTTTATGTGTTTAATTTTTAAAAAATAATTTATAATAATTCTCGGTCATTTTTTTTAAATAATTAATGTTGCAGACATTATTTAGTAACATTAGGAAAATTTTTGTTCATTACGCACAAACAAACGAAAGATTCGGCTTGTTTCTTTATAAAGGCTGAAATACTGAATGTAATAAAGAAAAGTGCTATTAAAATAATAATTTTTTTTTGTATACACATTCAAATTCTACGAACGTGACGAACAAGCGAATGAAAGGTTTTATCGAGGGTAAAAGTCGAAAAATGCTTTGAACGATTTCGCTTCACAGGCCGAGTGAAAGCAGAAAATGCAAAAGGGAAAACCGGACAAAGAAAAGCACTATATAATAGAGCAATGTGATACCCTTTTCTCGCTGCAATCGATTCCATTTCTACATATGTACGTATATACACAACACATAAAAGAGAGAAGAGAGAAAGGGGAAGGAAGAGGGAGGAAGAGGGAAAAAGTGATGGTGGAAGGGATTTAGATAGAAAAGAGAGAAAGAAGGATAGAAAAAGTGCAGGAGAGAAAGGAGCAGAATCGTTTTTCGCCTCGTACAATTTGTGTGTTACTTCCGGAAGACTCCACATATCCTTTCTTTCGAACCGGATACGTAAACAAAGAGATAGCGGCGGATTGGCCAGCGATCTTTTAACTTCCGGAATCTGTTGCCTAACTCGAACGCACGAATTAGAGTTGATAAGAAATAAATACTCCGCCGGGTCAAAAGTTGTTACTCCCATCTTATTTGTCGCTTGTCAACACTGCACGGATTTTACGACCTCCTCGAAAGCCCTGAGGCAGCGGTAAAGAGCCTGAGACCTCTCCCGGATGCGTGATCGTGGTAACTCCGCCCCCTTTTCCGGATGCGTAATCGCGGTAACTCCATCACCTTTCCCGGAAATTCTAACTACCGAAAAACAAAGAAAACCGATAAGGATGCCGCCAGCCAAAATTTTGACTCCTTCGATCCCTGCATAAACCACGACAGCGCGAGGACCGCATTAGAATAGAACAGAACAGAATTATAATATACAACACGTTCCTTTGCAGGATCTCTAGTTGAAAGTCAGCGCGCGGCTTAAGACGGCTGTGACAATTTTCAACAGCCCAGTCGAGATTCCGATACGATGACCCAATCGAGATCTCTGGAACACTTCTGGACCGATTCAATCCTTACAAACAGTAAATCCCATTTTTTCAATTTTCCATCCTCAATATTTCCCGTACTGCCTTCCTGTACTTTTTTTCTTTCAACTAACTGGTTGCTTATTTCTGCAGTAAGTGACAACTGCAACCGTTCTGCAGCGATTTGCCAAATCAAACGCGTGGCTAAACGATGGCGCCATCGCCGAAACAGGAACGCTTGCAGGTCTCTGGACCTGGCCTATTAGAAATTTTATCTATCCTGACGAGACGGATATTTCTGGACACTTCGTCCTCAGTATCTCCTTCTTTTCTCCCTTCCCCCCCCCCTCCCCTCTTATTGCCTTCTGAAATTTCACCTTCTAAATTTTACATTTTACAAATATTTTGTCTATTGAATTGTTTCACGTATGTTAATTCCTACTAATAATAACTGTCTATTAAATGGAAAAAGATTTTCACATAAAAAGTTTCACTATCCTTTGCGAACTCGGTTCCTCGACCGGAGCTTCCACCGAAGCTCAGAGATGCTTTGAAGAACATAAAATACGTGGAATAACTTTCCGTAAGGAAGAGAGAAGCCTCCTGAGCGCAAGGAGGAAATGAACAAAAATGACAACAGAAAACAGCTCGGTTGCTGATATCTTCGTAGTTTCCATTGTTCTCTGTATTTCAAGTCAATATCGAAAGCAAATTCAGCACGGTCATTTTCAAGGCTTCCGCTGGAAGTTTACGGTATTCGTAGTAAGAGGTGGCAATGCCGCCGTGTCGCAAAGAATTTTATCGTTTTGTATCAATTTGTATTATCATATGTATGTGTCTAACACATGCATAAATTTGTGCAAATCATGTATCTTATTTACAAATTTATAAGTTTTTACTTAAAAAGTCTTCATTTTCTGTAAAATAAAACGCTAAAGTGCTATACGATATATGTATCAATGATATAAAAATAATAATTTTAATTTTATTCAAAAGTATTTTACGATCAATATAGAAAATTTATCGCAATTCAAATTTTTTATTTGCAATTCATATATCTAGCTTATAATGCACATTACAAAAAGCTGCGTGAGATATGAAGAAATGTAAGAAGTAACAGCTCTCCGAAACGATCGCGGCAAAAATTTAAGGTAGCAGTGGCTGCAGGAAAAGCAGAAACGTGAGAATCATGCATATGGTGCCGGGGGAGTCTTGAATTTCACGAGCCTCTACATATAACGCCGTGTTCCTCGGGTTTGCATTTTTGAAGAGTCCCAATCTAGACGCCGGATCGCGTCCCGCGATACGCATTTCGTCCTCCATCGGGAAAGATTAGTTTGGGTTAGTTTGAGTTAAGTGCATTTTCTGTTCAATAAGAAATTTATGGCAATTGTCCAAGCGGAACAACAAGGTGAAACGACAAAATGACATTAAAAGTTAATCGTGACTGATCGAAAAAAGTGACTTTTAATAATTCGGAATCATTTTAATATCATTTTGATGTTATCATGACTTTTGTTCTGCTTGTCGAGTGACGAAGAGAATTTCTTGTGAAAAAAAGTAACGTACGAGAAATTTTACTATGTTAATTATCAAAGTCGTAGGATTTAGTTGCAACTTTTAAGTCCATTTTCATCCACTAATTCCCCTCCCCCATTTCTTTCCCTCTTGTCTCCTATGTTTTAACAAGGGGCTGTTGAAAGTTGAAAACACTCGTAACTAAGAAAGAATGCGAAGCTTTGCCTTAAGACTAACCGCAAAAAAAAGACTAACCGCACAGTTATAATTATAATATTTAATATTACATAATTACACATTTTGTATTTATGTTTAAATCTGACCTTTGAGTCATAAGAAATTTTCTCCTTTACTTTCTTTTTACGTAAGTAAGCTAATAATGTATATGTAAATAATATGTATATGTAATTGTCTTTGAATTAGCACGATCAAAAGAGGTGTGACTTTTCATGAAGTCACATCTCTGCAAAACTAAGTAAAAAAATGTAAACTAATAGAAATGAGAAACTGTAAAATGTCAACTGTCAATTTTTTAATATAAATATCTGTTTCTAAAAATTAAAAAATTACTCCAAGCAGCAGAGGAACGTTAAAAATCGATAATGATATTTTGACCTATTAGACATAATTATGTCACCTTTCGACTTATTTTGCTACTTCGAAAATATATTTTGACTCTTCACTTCTCAACTGTACCGCAGAGATTTCAAAGAGACATTGTATGTATGTATATACGGGCGCGTGTGACCGTAATCTTTATATTTTATAGCAGATGTTGTGAGAAGAGATCATATTAGGAACTCACCGAGTATTATGGAGGCGTTTGCTCGCTGGACCAGCTTATCCACTGTGTTCTTGAACTCCTTGGATTCCTTAATCCTGATTTGCGCCCGAGACACCTCGCCCAGACGCGGTCTGCCCAGCAGTGCCATTTTCTCCTCCTCCGTCCTTTCCTCCGGTTGCTTCATCTCCGCCGCAGCAGCCATTCCTGCTTCCGCTGAAATCAGAAAATCGCGTATTGCTGCTTTAATAGTGTCGAGACATGTTCCGCAACGAAACGAGGGGAGGTCGAGCCGATTCATGGTCAGATAGGAACGGCGAAACAGATTCTGTTAATTAACAGTTTTAATTAATTCCAGTCTGGCGTAATAAATATGCGAGAACGTATCGTTGTTCTTCTTTATTGGATATTTTCAGATATTGAATGACCCAATTTTCAGCATTAGTAAAATGCTGAATTTTTTAAGTTGCTTCAAAAACAGAGTTTTAATATCGAAACGGACCGACGGTTTTAATATTGAAACGCACCGACAGCTTTAAATCAAGTTATTAGAAATACACAAATATAATAAGTTAGAAAGATTTTATATAAAATTGTATAGCATTGAGCATTTTATTTAGTGTTTAAAAATTATTATTAATTATTTTCAGAAATATTTTATGCTTTGTCAAAATTATTTTTTCATAGTCACGATATTATTTTTAATGTGGCGCTGCTATTATTTTTATTTGTTATATTTATATATATATTATATTAATTCAGATATGTTGTTAAATATTCTGTTTAGCTTTTTCAGTTTGTACATTAAATAAATACATTATATTTATATTAATGTATTGTCACACATATACATACGTATAGAATACGCGTACAGTGTTAAAGGTTAAATAAAATTTTTAGTATTCCATTGTTAAAGACAAAGACTCGTGACGTGCCCCGTAAAGATTGATCGTGTATAGAAACAATATTAGACAAGATTGATTGATCAATGTCGTCCGTACAATGTAAATCCATTTAAATAGATCTCTTAAACACAGACGACAAACGCGGCAAACAGCCCGCTTTCTCGCGTATAACCGCGGCTTTATACTATCGATCGGTCTCATGAATTATAGTCGCGCACCTCTCTTAAGCCAATTCCGTGCAGTTCGTAGTCCGTGTCTGACCACGCATCGACTCACATCACTTGCATTGACACTTTTCTACTTCGAGCGCATGTAGTGTGAAACTAACTCAGTCAGCCTAGAAGAAAAAACATTGTCCTATGCGGCTGCATACACACAAATATGGAATGGATGAACATTAACACGGCGTTATTCGTTTTGCCATTGCAAAACGTCTGCACGGATGTAATTAGTACGATACAGTTAGTTTCGAAAAAAGCATTCTGAGCCATGTTATCTGATTAGCTGAAGAAACACAAGAAACTGCACGGTTTTTGTGAAGAGCAATATGTTAAGTATCCAAAGATGTTATTCAGTGTAACAATAAACATTTCCGCAATGCAATGTGTATTTGACGATTTTAACACCAAGTGTATAAAATCGCTCGCGTTGCGCTATCGATGCATGAATAATATTCAATGACCACATTTATCTCCGTCATCGAGGGATGATCGATACTTTGCGCCGGGTGTTTCGATCGATGATGAATGACGTATTTATTGTTGGTATCTCCTGTCCACAGCCGTGATAGTGTATGATCGTATTTCATCGGAAAAATAAAAGAAAAATCTCATAAATCCGGGATGCGTGGCAAAATGTGAGACCGTCAAGAAATAGGAGAAATAAAAAAGATATCGAAATAACGGAAAAGGCAAAAAGAAAAAATATAAAAAAGCAGAGCGAAAAAAAGGAAGAAGAAGAGAATATTACAAAGAAACTAAAATTGTATAAAGATTATATATATATATATATATATATATATATATATATATTATATATTTATATTTCTGGTCTAAAAGTCGCTTACGAAAAGTTTATAGGTCAGCCTTCTACACTTTCCAACACGAGAAAACAATTAGTAAACTTTTTCTCTAAATAATTAATTATATCTGAAACACAGCAGAAAAGTTAAAGAATTTTTATTTTAAAAAAACTATATTATTATTTTATAATCGCTTCCACGTCAAATTTTCATTCCCGAAAACATCCTTTCGTAAGCAGATATAAATTTGTTTGCTTTGGCTTTCACTTGGCGTTCTAGTGTTACTCCATAAAAGCTTCTTATAGCTCATATCTCGACTAAAGCTCTCGGCGAGTTAGCTTTCCGCATTGGTAAATTCAATTTCGCTTCACTTTTCCTTGATTCCGGATCGATATATCCGCCGCGTTATCTTCCGTAATACCATCCCTAAACTTTCGCGTCTCGCGAAAGATATTTTGCCAGATACCGCTGTTACGTCACCGAAGATAACAATTTTAAAATTATAAATATAACATATATATTCAGTGTGTTTTATAATAATTGTAAAAGGCTTTTGGCAATTCACTCCGAACAAGCGGAAAGTGATATTTTGCAATGAACCATACAGTTCGAAATACGAAGCAAAATAATAAACATTATTTCTATGACAACGATATAATTATATAACACAACAAAGTATAATAATAAAGTAATAATATTATACTATATTATACACAATCGCAATTATCACATTTGTAGCGTACTGGCGTATTGGCGCTTACTGAACACTACAATAACAATCCTTTGTTAGGCTACAGTTTCATCATCGTATCGTATTTTCAACGCAAAACAAATCTACCGTTTACCATCCACTTTTTCGTGTTTTTTATAACGTTCATACATTTCATTTATGCAAAAAAAAAAAAAATCAGGTAGATCGGTTTGAGAATATTTTTGACGCTTCAAATATACATTGTACAAAAATCAGAGAGAAGAGATTTTTTTCAACTTCACGTAACTACATTTTATTTTAAAAATTATGCACGAGCGCGGGTAAAACAAAACCAAAATCAATCAACACCGTGAGGAGCAACAACATACATGAAAATATAATAAAATTATCGGGAGAATATTCTGTAAATAATTACACAATATATAAATGAATAAATTAATATTAATAATAAATACATTTAAAATTTGATGACATTTCTTGACTTTATTGTGATCTAATTCTAAAAATTAATAAATATTAATTTGATCGTATATAATAGATGCAAGTTAATTAAAATTGATTCTTGCTTTTTGACCGATTTTTGCCTTTCAAAGTCAGATTTAATGTAATGCGTCGAACTTGAAGCTCATTGAACGGACGGACGTATTCGAACGAAAGAAGAGGGAATAACAATTTATCAGCGGAGAGGAAGAGGGCAAGAGATTAGCAATGAGGGAGCGGGGCTGTGGGCTCATTTCTGACCCAGACATGGATAAGATCAATGAAGGATCGGCCGATGAACGCCAGATGCAGTCGGGGTGCGATTTATTGCCCGCGAAATACGTCTTCGTTTGAAAAAGCCGGCGCTTAAAATTTGAAGTAAAGGAAATGTAATTCGCCACGGGAATTATTCCGCTCCTTGCGAATTTTCTAGCGTTATTTTTCAATATTGCGCTTCCTTTGCTTGAATATAACAGCGCATTGGCGATGCATTTTAAATGAGTTGCGTTCCGTCATAGTGTGACAAAATTAGCCCACATATATAATATTCTACGCGCTTGCATAAAATATAAACATATTGTTAACTCTATGTGTTAATACTTCGGTTAATTTCCCATGAGTTTAAGATATTCCAAATGTCAAATCTGTGTAAAAAATTAAACAAATTCAGTTTTAAAATTTATTTATTTGCTTCATTATTTAATCATTGGAAGTATAAATATAACGTTTGTCTGTGCAGTTGCATTCTTACAAAATATCATGCTCTTGTTACATGTAACCGCATGAATAATACATAAATAGGATGATTTATGCAAAACAAATAAAAAATGTAGAACCAAATTTTTTAAATACATTTTTACGTATTTTTATGAAAAATAAGCTGGTTCTGTTTTTTATTTGAGGATTTTAAATGCTTATTTGAGCTGCTTAGATTAAATGGTCTTGAAGTAAAAATCGACACGGGGTATTTATAACCAAAAAGAATTGCTCCATTTTTTTTTCTTTTATTGGGTAAACATCGCGATCGAAAAATTTCCAGCTATGGCAAAACTGGGACACGGTGATTGAATACAAGCGTTGATAACTAAATATGGTCCTGGCTTTTCCATCAGAATATTTTAAACTTGATTGGTGACGGCGAGTCAGAAATAAATGGCGACGGAAAACCTCATCTCATTTCACGGGGTCTTTTTAACTTATACGAACGGTAGTGGAATTTTTACGAGCGCTTCTCGATCAAAACGTCGAAATTATCGGAAAGCGTATAAGAAATAGCAGGCGAGAGCAAACTGAAAATTCAGCATACGGATATAGTAAGGTCTTTCTCCGCGTTTTTAAAAAATTTCCAAAGATCTATTAGTCATAAATGACGACCGCATTATTTGAGTTAAAAAAGATTTTCTACTGGAAAAAAATTAAAAGGTTAATTTTCAACTGTATAATAATATATTGCTTTTCCTCGGTTAAAAAACTACAGAAACTGTTTTATAAATAGCAATATTTTTTTTGTAAATAAGCAATAATTCGAAAAAAAACCGTAAAGACGAAAACCTTAAAAGTGTTCGCTATATTAGAATAACGATAAACGCGATCGTATCTCGCGTGCGACGAGTATCGAAGCGGAGCGATATTTATACGCGAACTGTCAAGTTGAAAATACTTTAGATTACCGTATCTCAGTAACGCCAATTGAGTTTCTAATAGGTTTAATCGATAGCCGTGGTTTCGATTATATAACGAACATGCCTTTAATATTACTCCACGTGCCGTTGTGGAACGGAGATATTTCAGTGCGAAGTTCGTATCGGCAAATTTTCAAAATGTCATTATTATCAGAGTTTGTCTGCGGACAAAAAGTTTTTTTTTTCCTATCATTTTCCAATTCTAGAAATTGGGCTAGCGGTGATCGAAGCCAATCCCGATCTACTGTCACGTACGTGTCGGGGATGTGACAAGCGAGATTACACACGCAATAACCGTCAGACTAACGTGGCAGTTAACATCCGAGAGTTTAAACGCGAAACAATTGTTTCAACGTAATTTTTTTTTGTAAGTGTTAACGTTCAAACGTCTCAAATGCTTCGTCGCAGAGATCACG